GAATCACGAGTTGAGTGCTTAGATCAGAATGGGCATGGCCTATCAAGAATGGAAAGTTCCACAAATAACTAATGCAGTAGATGCTTAAAAGCGTTTGATAAAATACACCTAACCTTTGTCTTTTTCAAGGTATGAGTATTTATTTGACTACAAAAAAGTTGATTCTCACATGTTTGTGAATGCTTTTTATTAATCCAATGAAGAACTCTAAATGTACGCACAAACATAAAAGTATGTCTAAAAAAAATCATTAAAATCATCCAGGTAAATGGGAGGCACTGAGCATTTGGGTGTGAGGTGAACAATTAACAAAAAAGTTCAAATTCAGTAAAACTCTTAATTCCATCTCAGTGCCATCTGTATTTTTCATAATTCCTCAGTATTTGCTTGAGTGAGACTTTATTCAATGGGATTAGATAATAAGCTCTAGTGTCTTGATGAATCAGAAGTTTTAATTCAAAGATAAATATTTAATGTAATATAATGAGATTCATAATAAGCACAAGCAAAAGAAAAGCTACTAACTGCAGAAATCAGATTTCAAAGTCAGGAGCAGATTTGGAAGTCCTGCCATGGGCTTCATCCACAATATCATAATTAAAACCTGTAATAATGTAAGATCATTTGGGAAGTATTTCAGCCTTTAGCATTGTGTACATGTAAAGCATTTATTCTTACAAACAAGCTATTTACAGTCCCACTCCGGACCTTTTTCCTTTGACGGAAACAGTAATCACTGCAGAATGAAAGATGAGCTACACTCATGGCTAGTTGCTTGTATTCCAGCAGTGGTAAAACAAACCATTAAGATCAAAGGACCAGCCATTTCAATAAACTGTACACTGTTGTTACTGTGACATATGGCTTTGTTCTGCCAGAGGGAAGGTATAAAACAGCACAAAAGAGAAATCAATTTTTTTTACTCAATGGCTCAGTGTTAACAACAAATATTATATAAGTATATATATAATTCCTATATGTTATATGCATACCTATATATTAATACACAGTGGAACTCTAGTTGTATATACAAAGAGGTAGGTCAGGTCCTGACTTGCAGTTAGGACATGGCCAGACCTTATGCTGGGACACAGTGGAAAGTAAGTGCTCCCTGACTCCCCAGTTTATTCATAGGCTCCTCTGGCTTACAAAACGGTGTTGTTGTTCCATGCTGAGCAAGGGACCATTTTATGATTCAAATGAAAAGTATATGGGGAAGAGCTGCCATGGAGAATAGGACACATTCAAAATTATTATTATGTAACTTGGAGAGTTTCACGTCTTTTATAAGCTTTTGGTCACAGTTCTTTTATTTCAGCTGATGAATGAGTTTGCTTTTCCTCATATCTGGGTATTCAACCAGTAAAGATGCATGTCATCTACCTTTTGAAAACAGCATTCTCTTGAAGGGGCCTCCACCAGGCTCCAAAACAAATGGCCAAAACCGTTGTTCAGAGTTGTTGAAGGTTAGAAGCTCCAAGCCAGCACAAAGAGTTAGATGTAACCTCATCTGCCTTAAGTACACTCGCTAACTCATTGTTCAAAACATGTAGAGTGAATATATGCATATTTAGTAGTGATCAACTGATTTTTCAGGATCCTGGCTAAGTTGATATTCCTGGTCACCAGAAATCATTTGATTTGACTTCTGATCCAGAGAACTCAATACAGAAATTACCAAGGTAAAAAATAAATATGAAATGATCCTTTAAACATTAAACACTTCAGTGCCCTGTGATTTTCATAATTTTCACGTGTTTCTCTATGCTAGAAAATGGTGGAGTAGACTTGCACAATTTGAAGGTAAAATTATATCAGTGATATAATTTTTAATATAAAAGAAAGCTTCTGAAAATTTTTAAACAGAAACATGTATTTTTCACTTATTGCTTCATGAGGTCATGTTTAAGCATTCATGAGTCATTTATCTTAAAATAAATTCTTATTCATGGACCTGTCTGATTATTTTACCAAATATTTTCAATAAGTTTTTAATGTGTTTTCCCCTTTCCAGTATTTCTAACTACATGTTAGAACCTAATTTCTTAAAATTAATGAATGTTTCTCCTTCCATTATGATCCCTTGCTGCTGTTGCTTAGCCACTGATTATATCACCTAGACACTTTATCTTCTCTTTTATGAAAAATGTTATAGCCTGAAACAATTCCACCATATAGATAAAATATTAAGTATTTTGTGCAGGTGAATAGCTCTTCCATTTCCCATACCCTTATCAGATTGGCCTATTCCTATAGGACTGCAGCATTTCTACAGTCAGGATATAATCAACATCTCTTTCTCATTCTCTGAATATTGCTGATAAAAGAATGAATCTTATTCCTTCACGCTTAGCTAGGCAAAACGGTGCTATTTATTTAACTGTTTCAGGAATCTCTGAACCATACAGATAAACTGGCTTTTGGATGAGCAGGGTTTATTCCACTGTATCAAGGGATGTGAGGCAGCACTTAATTTGGAGCATTAATTACTTAGATACATTATATTGTGCTGATATGTACAGAAACATAAATTATGAGAAGACTTGGCTTGATTGACGGAAATAACTAGATTATATAAAGAAAAAATATGCATTTTGAGTACTGAGTCTTGAGTATTACTTGCCAATCCAATTCCTCCCAAAATACAAATAAATTGAATGTTTCCAATCAAAGAAGTACTTTAATTAATAACCACAGGCCCCTTTTTTATTTTTTTTTCAAATTTAAAAAAGCAGTCTGTTGGTATATAAGTAGCAAAAGTACTAAAGTACTTAACACTCTACAGCTGTGCTACTGGAATGCAAAAAGCATTACGAACAACAGATTTTACTTCATTCAACTATTCTTTCATTTGATTCAAATATGTTAATCCTGAGACCCAGTGAAAACCACTCCATTTTCCTTGGTTTGGATTGAAATCAGCCAGTTCCACCTATCTGAGATATTTGATGGGTACAAACTATAAAACTTCAGGTAAGAGCACTGCCATCTGTGTGGTCTTATATTTTAATTTTACTAAAGACATGCCACGCCATGCAACTGATTGCACTCTGGCTCTAAACAGCCCTTAGGTTAAGCAAGTCCTTCTTTTCACCTCTGGCTGATCTTAATCTGGAACAGAAATCCTGCTCCATTATTTGAAGCACAACTGGACTCACTGGAGCAGTTATGGATCTGTGCCACATTTCAGATTTTTACTGTTATTTTTATACTTTTTTAATTGCATATACAAAAGATTTGTTTTGTAGGTCATATGTGCTCATACATATTAAGGCTGCCACTCAACACTATAAAGTCCAATACAGAACTTGTAGATAATTTTTGTGAAGGTCTGCTCCTCTTAATTTCTTTCCTTCTTTTGAAAAATTTTAAGTTCTCATTTCCAATTTGCTGGATTCAAAATGTGCAAGTATAAAGAAAAGGTCCTTACGTGAAGTTTTGATCAGAAAGCACTATGTTGAATCAACTTGTCCATGGCAATATATTTATAATGTCACAACTTGAGAACTTGTACAGGTCAAAGACATGCCAGAAAGTTGACATTTCCCAAGGGAAAGAACTTCTGACTTTTGTTCAGCCCTAGTCCACAGCTCATACAGCCTTAGTTGTGCTGATTAGCATCAATAGGCATTTTCTGCAGCACAATAGAACAGAATGATGCTGATGATTTCATTTAAAAAATAACTGACTATTATTTTTTTTTACTGATTGAAATATATTGAGAGAAGAATTCTGATTTGGGGTTAATATTTCTGTATAGGAAGGACCGTGCCACTTAACTATTAACTAAAAAATACTCCTTAAGTGATAAAATAAAAAATTCTGTGTGAATAAACCAGCCCATTTTATTCCTTTCCCTTTTTTGAAGTATATTAATCTCCGAATTATTGCTAATAATTACTAAATTCCTAGATAGTTACTGGGGAATTATCAGCTCGCAACAAAATATTAATTTTCTCAGACTTATTGACTAAGTTTGACCATCAAATTCTTACAGAAATTGTATCAGGATAACATTTTCCTTATTATTCTTTGAGAAGACATCTCATTACCATGCAAATGGAAGTGCCTTTGAGCAGACTAATTGGTATATGTGACATGTGAAAGACTGAAGTCACTCCACAATTTATACAGAAAGTATAACTGAAATTTGACTGCAAATACCATTGTTTTCTTGAGATTTGGTATTTACACATAGCAAAGTGGGGGGTGGATACCTATTACATGTGCAAAGATTAGAAAGAATAGTTGTGTAAGATACTATGCCTCACCACCAGAGAAAGAACATTTAAGGAAATGCATTTGGTAATTAGATTAATAATACGCAATTAATTTGATAGAAGCAGGCAGCCTATTCGAAAGCAACAGAGGTATATAATGTAATCAAAGCATATTTGGTCCAATTCCCTGCATTTGTTTATTTATTTAAAGGCATGTTTTGTACACACATTATCACTACCTTTTAATATTTATTTTAGAAGAGAGTGTAATAGTCAACAGGCCAGAACACTGAAAAAGACCATGTGTTTACTTCTAAGAATAGACATGGTCTGTAAGCAGTTTAGGCAGCTTCAAATTCAGTTTCGGACACAACTTCTCAGGAACACTGTTCTGTAGGATGGGATACAAACAGACTACCAAGTGTATCAGAAAGGATGCTACCAGCATCTGTGACACAGGCTTCAAGTTGATAAACTTGAACACACAGACACAGAAAAATCCACTCCAACATGTAGTTTTAGCATGTGAATACAAACATGAACCTTAACACACAAATCAGCCAAACTGCCAAGAACTGTGCCTTTCTTTATCATGAAGCTAATCTAAACACACTGTCACTCTCAAAAGCAGGTTAAGCTAGACTAATCTTTCTGATGTGCAGTCATTCTTCTTAAGTGCCTAAACATGGAGCTTCTGCAGCCAGCCACAAGGCAGTCATTGATTTCACATTGTGAAAACACTTTCTAAAGACAACTCTGTAATCAAATGTGGTTATTTACCTGTCATAGTCTTGGCAAATCTCCCCAACAGCTACCAGTGCTTTCAAATACTCATTGGGTTGATAGGGGTGGATGTAGTGCAGTGAGCAGCTGTTCCTAGGATCACCATTTGATGCAGTGAAATCTATAGCTACCTGGAAAAGAAGAAAAGTCAATGTCTTGCACAGCTCTTCTGAGCATATCCACATCAACCACATATCTTCACCAGGAACAGTTTGCTGTAGAGTCTGCAGCCTTAAAGCAAAGGTCATTTTACAGCGTACTTAATCAAATTTGTAGTAGGATAGTACTGATAAATATATTTAGAAGCAAATGAGAGTTTATAAAATAAGAGCTAATAAAACTAAAATGGCACAATTAGAAAAAAAAATTGCCTGCATTGCTATTCTATGAGGGAAAACATTTTCTAATACAAATGAATCAAATTAACTATCTCTAGGTTCTCATACTTAATTAAATTATTCCAGCTAAGGTGATGTTCAGTACATAAAAGCTTTGCAGCAAAAACATCCCTGGAGAGTTAAGGGTCCTACTAAAACTATAAATTAAAACTAAAATTAGGGGCATTTCTTAGCTTTTTAATCCTTACTGTGGCTGTAGTAGTAGATATTGTCTGTCTGGTATTTTTTTGTCTTCAAAACGTCTAAGCATTAAATAATTAACCCTCCCAATTTCACAGTTGATAGCAAGCTTAAATGTGAGCCACAGTGTAAAAACAAAGCTTGAATCCTACACAGCTTTTTTCTGTTGCGTGAAAAAGCTTAGAGAACATTGTGGGAAGCAGTCAATGCAAAAGCAAATATTAATGAATCCTCTTAAAATTAATTTCTCCCTTTTAAAATGCTCTTTATAATTCTCACTGAAGATGTACTCTGGCATGCATTTTCCTGTGATATGACCGTCATGGATCAGAAAGTCCTCTGCTGAATTTTTGATGCTGCTTTATAGGAATTCCTAAAAGGAGTTGTTTAGGAATTCCTAAACAAGAATCCTAAAGTGTTTCATAAAGGGAACAAATTTACAAAATTTCAAAATTTCCCTGTGATTTTTTCCAATAACCTATTCCTCTAAAAAACCCATTACACCTGAATATTCAATAAACAAATGCACAGAGTTCAGTTTTCAGTTTTACAGTGTAGCTGAAGGTAAGAAAGGGTCTTGCTGAAGCCTGCAAAAAGAACTCTGAAGGCCTAGCTTGCCTTTGCAAATGTGCAGCTTTCCCAGCTGCAACCTCTGCTTGGCACAGGGAACACTATTTTATGCAGCTCTAAAATGAAAATGAAATTATATTTTCATGCTGCCTCCAAAAAATTACACAGTCCTCCTGAAACTTATTTTTTGTAGCTAAAAAGTAAAAGGGAAATATCATAGTAGGTCAACAAAACATGGTTTTCCCTCACTGTTCCTGATATTCCACCTCTATCTCTGAAGAAACTGGCCTCTAGTTAGTTTGGAAATCCCTTTATTGCCTTGATCAACTATGAACTCCCAGCACCTCACCACATTCAGTCGGGAGAGATGAGCTTTTCGGCTTGCAAATAAAGTAATCCTTCACCACTGCTTCCTACTCACTGTTCACTCACTGAGGCACTGAGTTTGTTTTCCATAGAGATTTTTTTCCAAAATTATAGCTTGATTTAACTTGGATAAATCAATGGGAAACCTCTCACGCCTGCACTTGTGAGTGTACGTAACTAAGAAACACTACATGTACGTATCCGAGCAAGAAAGAGATACTATTGGTTCGTGAAACCTAAGGTAAATCCAGGGATGCTTGTATGGACTAGCTTAGTTTTGGGATACTTATTTGATAAAAATCTTACTAAAGGTATGCACATTTTCTTAAAAATATGTATATTTTTTCTAATACTTATTCAACCTTAAATTTGATCATAGAAGGTGCAAAAATGTCACTGTATGATAGAGAAACAAAGGGTATTCCTGTAAAGTTGTTTAAAGTACGTGTTTTTACTGATAATCTCAAAAAGCTAAAACACATTAACAAGACTTGAGTGATACAGCAAACAAAACCGGACAAGTCTTCCTTCGTGGCTGTTAGCCATGGCTAAATGCTTTGGAAATGAAAACAAGAGCACAGTGTAGGAATCAGGATTGGGTTTCATGAGCTTGGAAAAAAGCTTGTGGCTAGTGTTTGGGAAAGAAAAAACACTTCCTAGAACAAGCTTCCTTTTGGAAATGGTCATTGCAGTAGAGGTCTGCTGATAAGTAAAAAAAATTCCTAATTTCCTGTGATGAAGCATTTATGAATGTTTGTACTTGGATGCAGTGTGCTTGAATTTGATCCAACTCTCTGTTTGACTCCCAAGGGGAGGACTTATAAGAAAAATGAACACTGCTGTAACTTGCCATAGTTCCAAAATAACAATGCAGAGCTCTGCTCTTTTAGCATTACCCAACAGTACCAAGGTCTTGTGTAAATACACAGGATAAGGATTTGTAAAAGTAAGTTAACATATCACAGAAGTTATGTTAATCTTACAACTGAATTTATCTTTTGGGCAGCAAAGTAGGAATCTTTCTTACAGTGCGTACATTTGATTTTTATCAGTGTATCTTTAATGTATCAGTTCCAATGTATCAGTCACCTTCCACAGCTAAATAAGAGCATAACTGGGGTTTTTTTCCCTCAGCCGTGTAAAAAGGTGATTTTCATTACACTGAAAACATCCCACATAGCTGGGACCTCCTGCTAGATCTGTCAGCAACAAATCAGCCTGCCCAGTACCTTGACCTGCCTGATAGAGCATCTGTCCAATCTATCTTTCTATTACAGTTCCTTTTATGCATGTTACACATCCTTTCTGCTGTATTTCCCAAAGTGATGAAAATGTCTTCTGACTACAGACCCATTTGCACTGCCAGCTTCTGAACATTTCTTCTGCAGCGGGGAACACTGTCTGATAAGAGATACAACGTTTGGCAATAACTAGGGCATAAAAATAGAGGACTGGAATCAGCACTATTGATCTCTATAGATAAAAGCTTCTTAATAACTGGTTTTAAAGCAAACGAAAAGTTTACTTTCGTTTTTCAGAGACATTCTTGCTAACTACAAACCATGTTCCTACAATAGATGTACAAAGTATCTGAAGAACAACATGATGTTACCAAAGCTTTCATTATTGCCTTAAATTAGGAGGTACATCCTACTACAGCTTTTTATTATCAAATGTGTGCTTAGCATCCCAGTTTCCCTCCCTCAACAAGTGCCCTTTCAAATCACAGTTGTATCATACTGCCTGTACACAGCATGAGCTCAACAGAAATGTCATTAAGACAATGACAACAAAAATACATGTACCAGGAGAGTTTCAAACAATCCCAGATGCATTCTTGTTAAAACAAAAAAATGGAAATCTGGGAAAGTAAAAGGAATAGGCCTCCTCTATTTCAGTGGTCTGAATTAATCAGATTAGGGCTATGTGAAAAGGAGATTATATGAAGTGTGCAGAAAGCAAGGGAGCATGGAATATCTCCCCTGTAGGCTGCACCCTTTTGCTTCAGTGACCATGGGAGAGCCTCTGATACATTTCTGGAAACAGCAACAGATCTCATAACCAGTCATTTTTGACTGGTGCAATCATGCTGAGGAGGAAGGAAAATATGCAGACAGTCAGCTTGTGATGATCTTTAGGTAGAACCACTTGGTTATGCATGTAGAGTAAAATATAGTAGAAGTAATACTATCCACTTTAACCCATTTATGCCACCACTTTTAAACTCGTGGTTCACAGCCTACTAATAGGAAACCTGTGACAAGCAAATAAAAGGCAAGCAAATTGCCACAACCCTCCAGTGCACTGTGTAAGAACTTGCTCTTCCATTGGAAAACATTTAGAAGGAATCAAAAAGAGTTTGAAAAGCACAGCTGTAACTTAATATGTAAATCCCTAGACACTTTCTAATGGTTGAAGTGCTCCTGGCTTGAGCTAGAATTGTAGGAAATGCATATTATATCTTTGCATGTGCCTAAGTACATGTTCTGATTAGAAAAGGCTTTCAGATATTACTTGAAGACATAAATGTCTTTCTGCTAATGACCTTGAACGCATTTGATGATTGAGTTCTTCCAGTCATATTTTTAGGGAGGAAATGCCAGGAAAGACAAATTAAAGAGGTTTCCAGGGACTGGCAAGTTTCAGTTTGGAGGAGAAATGTGCATTGCAGGCATGTGGGGATAAAAGAAGAAGTCGCTGGGTAAGGCAGGGAGGTAATTACATAGGATGCTTTACTTGAAAGAAGACAACTAGAAAGATCTTTGAGCACTACAGTAGGTATTTCCTTCAAAACCAGAGACAAGGTCCTCAGTTCTGGGCGTTATCCAATGAGTCTGTGATATGTACAGGCAAAATGCATGTTTTACACCTCAAAAAGCTGACCTGTAAGCAAGAAGACAATCCACTACAATACCTGCTGCTGTTGCTGGAACTTTCTGTTGGGAAAAAATAAAAAAAAAAATTCTTTTTTTTTCCAAATCTTTTTGGAAAATGAAGACTTGTCTGGAAAAAGTGAAATAGAACATTTTAGAAGCATCCAATGTCTGATACTTGATATGTGGGAGTAAGTATCAGACAGATACTTGCAAGGCAGAGTGCTACAGGAAAATGAAAGATCTCCGGAAGAAGAATATAACCTTGCTGCAATAGACTTTAGCCCTGTAGCTGATATGAATTAGAAGTCACATAAACCAGACTGCAACTCAGCCACAATCTGTCTTCCTATGCTATGGGAAATACTGATATATTATATTAATTATATTTGTTATATTCAAAATTAAAAAATAATTCAAAAATCAAACCACACAGAATTAAATGTTTCTCAAAATTATTAATTGGAAATGCAAAATATTGTATTTCTGTTTATGAAGAGCTCTGCAAATCATTTTATCCTGTTTCTTGAACTCAACAGCTTCTGATTTGCTCTAAATTACTACTGTGTCCCCCTGTAGTGCCATCTTACTGTTGGTAGCTATGGCTGAGGTATGAAGCACCAGGATTTACCCCAGGCTGACAGAGAGAGGACCCTGGCTGGACTGTCTCTCTGCATGTATGGCATCATGTGAGGGAAAACAATTTGCTTTAATGGAGGACTAATTCTGAAAAGGAAGACTGAAAAGGAAGACTTAACATATTCTGCAAGAAGACCTTAATAACTTACTCAGGACTCTGTGAAAGTAATGAAGTGGTATCTATGGGGATTCCGTTTCTTTAAAAGAAATTAGAGAAGTAAGACACTTACTGTGAACTGTATTTGGCAGCCTCCCATGATATAATCTAAGAAAGAATGCATCTTGTGGATCTGCAGACAAGAAAGCAAGACATTCAACTTAGCTGTATACTGATAAAACATCAGAGAGCTGCCTGAAAAAACAATAAATTGGAAGGATGAGAGGGACCACCTGAAAAATAAGTTAAAGGAAGAAATCATTAGACACAGTTTGAGACAGAAACAAAAATATAAACAGAGAAAATATTAAAATTCTAAAAAAAGGAAAATTTACATAAAAAGTAGAACCAAGCTCTTCTTTTCAGTAGGAATTCAGTGGAAATTCTGCTGTTGATTTAGAAGGAACAAGAGCAATTTTGTAGAAATGATAGAAGGACTAAAAGGGAAACACACAAAGTTGGCAAGTCTTTAGGGGTAAGAGTTTAGTACTGCCTTCTCCATTGCACAACAGCAGGGATAGGACAAGAGAAATAAAACAGGAGAGCTGGGGACAGTCAGCTTACTTTTGAGATTCAAGTCCTTGTTTTTACTTTTTGTAGAGGATCAGTTTCCATTGTTACCCTACAGGCATTTCCACTTGGTTTTCTTGTTTCCAACCACCATTAAAGTATATCATTGAGAGCTTAGTACAGAAACAGCCAAAGAGTAAAACATATATTTACCTTGCACTGGTTAAGGATGACAATGCCTGAGTTCTTGTAATTCTTCTTCTTTGCTTTGTACTTGGGGTTAATGCATTCCCATTGTACCTGTTTAAAATAGCAGTCACTCTTTGAAGGAAAATTTATGTACAAATTGAAGTAATTAACAAAAATTGCACTGTCTGATTTCCACAGTTGACTAAATCATAACAAATAATGGTACACAGAGAGGAAGAAATGAAAACCATTAACTATGCAGAGAATGATCTTAATAGAAAAACGCCCAGGGCAAATATCAGTCTTTGCGCATATACAGGTAGACACGGCACTAAAAAAGATACACAGATTCATTTGTTGTCATCTTCCAGTCTTGTAGGTTCAGGTGTTATGTAAGCAAGATTGACGATCTTTTGAGATCATTTAAGAGGAGAAAAAAAGAGGAAACTTAACACTTAAGTGAAAATACTGGAGGGAACAACCTAACGCATTGTGTTAGCTACAAAACTGCTGGCACAGTAACACTGGGGTTTTGTATTAAACTCAAGGCTGGAGAAATTCCTATCAGTGGTTTGTCTCGCTTTCTCTTGCAAGAGAGCAACAGTTTCTTCTGTAAGTCTGACAGCAAAATAAAAAGTTAAGAAAACCACTAAAAATTGCACAAAGATGCAGATAACTAACTACTGATACATTTGAAAATTATCCCTAAGAATATAATAAAATCCCTTTCTGAAAATTTTCTCATGGTTTTATTTACAAATAGTCAGTTTTACAGCAAAAGAGTCCTACCTTGTTACTGAAATACATTGTCTTGCTCTCATCATGACATCTCTCAGGTTCTTAATAATTTCCATTTCAAATGTTCTGCCTTCCTCTGGTTTCAGGTAGATTGATTATGTTCAAGCTTTCAGACCCTCACCTCTAGTATCTACAATATTATTCATGCCTCCTACTGCAGGAGTAAAATGTACATTTGCACATGCAAATATCCATTGGCATTTGTACATACAGATTTTTATCTGTAAAGTGTTACTAAATATGGTTAATAGCATGACTATTTTTTTCAGAGAGGTGTTTTTAAATGTGGGGAGAAAACATGATGCTGGGTAACATAAAGAACAGAACTCCAAAAGGAATCAGGATGACCTATTATCTAAAAATCCCTATTATGACATTTTGAAATGAAACATATATATGTCTTAAGTGTTACAATTTTTTTCCTATGGTGAAAACCTTCTTAAGTGTTACAATACCTTGTCTATAATGAAATTCATGTGTTATATCTTACCAAAGTGTTTGAGCATGTAAAACTATTTTTACCTTATGAACAACCACAGCTATTTCACTGAGCTTCAAACCATTGCCTAACAGTAATTATTTGGATATCTCTGAAGTATTTCAGACTTAGAGATTTTGTCAAACATCAAAAAAGGAAAGGCAAAATATATGGCTTTGGAGCAATATGAGACCATTTCTGCACAGGGGAGGAGGAGTATTTTTGTCACTGTGAACTGGAGACAGGTGACAGAGTGAAGAATGGGAAAAGACAAAAAAACTGTTCCAACTGCAGGAAGCACATCTGCTTGCTCTCCCAGCTCAATTATTTGCTTTGTGAAACAAATTTTCCAACTGAGAAGACAGGCAGACACAGGGCCCCCATATTCAGGAAAAATCCTCCATAAATACTTTTCCTCTACTCAAGAGAAGCAGTCAGGCTTAAGAAATAAAAGCCCTTCTCTCCAAAGAAGGAGAGTACTCTGTGACACAGCACCAGAGTGCAATAAGCTCATATTTAGGAAAGCAATCTGACAGCAAGGCAGAAGCCTTGCCCACTCGCATCTTGATATGTTGCTGTCTGGCAAAATGGTTTAACACACATTTGTCTGCTGGAAGCATTCCTATAGAGAAATTGTGCTGTCTGTAAATTATAAATAAACTGTAATATATCAAATAGAAAATAAAAGCAGGAGATGGGATTTGTGTTCCTCCCTTTGACACTGAAATACACTGGAGAGATCTTTTTGCTTTCCCCTGAAGATCCAAGGTGCACCTCCTTAATTTTAGCATCCTCCAACATGAATACTTGTTTAAACAAGGCCTGACTTATATGAAGCCATATACTATGCACATAATTTCTCTCATTGGGAAAAGGATTATTTAAGCCTGAAAAACATTATGTTCATGGTATGGGTATATGGACAAAGTTTACAATACCTAAGGACTAAAGTGGTACAAAACATTACTTCAGGGGAGAAAAAATCTGTGCCTGTGTCTAGCCTCTCAGTTCCCTTTGCTAACCGTAAAATGCAATTATGAATGTTCCCCTATCTTGCAATGCATTTTGAGACATACAGATAACAATTCTGAGCAACTATCTAAAGCTCATTAAAATATTCTATGTGCAAGTCACTAACATCATTGACTGATAATAAAGCAAAGGGAAGAACATATTGGAAAATTTCTAGAAAGTAAGAAAACAGAAAGAAAGAACAATTTTGCATCTATTAAATCTGTTGATGATCGTAAAAAGAAGGGAAAATAATAGGAGAGGAGGGAGAAGACATTTCCTCGTTCATAGGCTTAAGAAAGCCAATAAGACTGTATTACGGAGAACTCAATCCTCACTTACCCACCAAGATCCAATTCTGACCTTGGTAATTCCCACAGTTCAAGCTAAAGATGTCACAAGCATCATTTGAAGGAAATTCCCTATACAGGTCTTATTATATCTCCAGCTTTTCTAATGAGAACAGAGTTCAGAATACAGCTCTAAGCAGGTAAGTAATATCGAGAAACAATTCTCAAATGTTTTGCTTGCACTGTGGGGCCAACCTCAATTTCCAGTCTGTTCCTACATTCCCAGTATTGATTTGGTATCTGACATTGTTTTTTATTGATTCATTTTTGCTCTTAAATTAAGTTTTCAGTTGAAAGGAAACTAATGCAAGAGTCTGCAATCTGACACTAATGGCAAACATTGTGAAGTTTAGATTCGTCATTCTAAAAGTCACTTAGCATTTCCTCCAAATGCCTGACAGCTCTAGGCTATGCAAGCTCTTTCCCTGTCAAACACAGTGAATCTGAAACAGAAAGCAACCTGGTTTTGACCTATTTCTTGTTAATTTAAGTAATGGTGCAAATGTTGGTAATGAAATCCCAAGACTATACTGTGTTGGTGTTTCTTTTATACCCTGAAAGTTAAACCACTATGGGGAGAATTTCTGAATATAAAACAAACTCCATTCAGCTATTCTTCAGAGTCAGTAAACTAATGCTGATACCTGGAAGGTCCTAATCCTCTTGTGGCTGTGATGATGAGACACAGATCTCATCTCAATGGGAGATGTTACTCTCTGCAGTGAAGGATGCTGCCTTTCTAAACATCCTTACTCCTTCTCTTACCAAACATTCAGAAGAGAAAGAAAAGCAAACAGTGCAAGCACCATGCCACACACCAGCAAAGGGAAGTGGAGGTGACTAAATGAAAGGAAAAAAACCCCCAAAATTTGGCCACTATGTGTCCATCAATAGCACAAACTATTCAGAGAAAGAATTGAGTGTCAGGAGAATTTCATGTACCCTAAGGCAAGAAAAATGACAGAGAATAGTTGCTTCCTCTGGGACACTGTGCTTGTACTGCACACTTGGACACTGGGTAGTCAGTCCTATGAGGAAAGGGCTAGAAAGCTGTGGCAAAGCTTGGGTTAGCATTGGCATGCTCTCTTTGCTTCCCTGCAATTCTTTTGTTTCTCTCTTATTCCTTCCTGTATAGCTGCTGCAACAAATTGCATAGTTTGTAAATGACAAAGAAGGAACCACAGTCTAATGGACAGGGCAAAAAACCCCAATCGATGGCAGGCAGCATTATATCTCTTTCTGATGCCTCAAGAAAAACAAGTCACTTTTAAGTGAACTGCATCACTTCCTGCCTGAAAGGCTAGTTCATTCCTGCCATCCCTCTAGGCAAGAGGAAAGGGTGGGTTTTCTTCCCTCTTTCTGTCCCAGAAATACATCCACCATGGGACAAGAGCTGCTTTTAATCACTATCAGAGGTCTCCTCTGGAAACTTGCCTCTGGGGAATGAAGTGCAACCATTGGTTGCCTCATCACAGGGATTTGGCAGGTGCCTGACATGGCTGCACCCTTCACTGAGGCCTCTGCTGCCCTGTGTGGGGCCAGCAGCACCTGCTGATATTGCAGACAACCCTGGGTGAACTTGGCTGTCTCCTGATAAAACTAGGCATGGAAATGTCTGTTGGTGTCAATAAACTCCTTGACCCATTACCAAAGGCTTAAAGGTCTCACAGTTCTCTGAAGAGCTACCTGATGCAAAGGCCCTGAGTGAGGGTCATAGACAGTTACCTGGGCAAAGGGGGGAATCCAGTCCAGATCCCTTTGAGACACCATCCAATCTTGTGCACTTCAGCAGCTCTCCTCACCTCCCTAATAACACCCTGAACTTGTGGGAATGTCAATGGATATGGTAAGTACAGCAAAGTTTCTTCCTCCTCTTTCCTTCTGTGTGTGTGCATATGGACACGCGTCCATTTTTTACGTAATGCAGGAACAGATTTTTCCCTTACATAACTCCCATGCTGCATGGGAATCCAGGTGATTTCCCCCTTCCCCCCTGCACCCCCGGCCAAATCGCTCTGGATTTATTGCCTCCATTAAAAAAAAAAAAAAGAGTGACCTTTTTTCTCACTAGTAGAGGATTTCTCCTTTCAACTATGATAAGCTTTAATAGTATTTACATTTTTATAATCTCAATCTTTTTCTCTTCTTGTTCAAATACTTTTGATAGATTAATATTAGAACACCTTATAAAACTGTCACTGTACACACATATTAAAATATACATATTATACATATATTTGGAAAAAATCCTAAGATACAATAAACTCAAAGTATTTATTAGTATTTCATTTAAAAAATGTCACAGATAGGGATGGACTTACTGGGCTTTCTTGTGTTAAGATCATGGTGAAGGAGTAAATAATGAATTTTGGAATGGTGGAAAGTGTTAACAGAAGGTTTAGAAATCACAGAATCATCAGGGTTGGAAAAGACCAGCACCACTAAGTTCACCACTAAACCCTCGTTTATGCAATGACTACTTCAGATGTGCCCTTGAACAAAAGGATGTCTTTGGCCAATTTTTATGGTAGTCAGTATGAAAAGAGGCTAGGTGTCAGAATATAACAGTCTGTGACCAAAAGGTAATTTTTATGGAAGAGAAACACACACCAAGTTATTATCCTGAGCTTGTCCATGATCAGGAAGTCTTCTTAAAACAGTGTGAATGGATTTCATCTGTCCCACCAATGAAAGACCAGCAAGGTTTCCCAGAATTCAAGCCTTTCAGGCACGGAGAAGCAACTGACACTATGAAGGACTCATAATTCAAGATTTGTGAATCTTATCCAAACCCTGCCATATTTAGAAGAGAAGTTCATAAACTACTTATGCCAGCCCTGATCAAAAGAAGCGATCAATCATCCAGATAAGGACACACAGTCCTTCCTGCTCCCAGCACACACTATGGTACTCCCGCTCTTACTGCTTAACACATTTATGACAACTTGTGGTGCTGATACCAGCCAATACAGATGCTGCTGATGGGCAGAGAGGGAGAGCTGTGTCATTGGTGTAACCTCCTTTAACACTGCACAGATTTACAGCTGATGCTTAAGGAAAGTTCCTGGATCCCCTGCCAGTGATGAATGTTCTATTCTCTCCGGTTGCCTGGGAAAGTGAAAAACCCTAGTTGGCAATGACTGGGGTGTTTTGATTATTTTTTGATTATCTTTTAACAGAACTACAGCAATGTACTCTAGCTGGCTGTAAGGTCTACTGCATAAAAGAAAATATAACCAGAAGAAGTTTCACTGTGTCTCCTTAGCAACTCAAACAGTGACATCTGGCCTGGGGTCTGCTCTTTACACTGGCTTCCACAGCATCTGAGATGAAATTTCAGATTTTGGTCCTCATCTTTGACACTCACTGTTGTGATGCTATGTGAAAGAGTGCTTAATGCCAGGGGCTGAAGGATGTAGCTGGCAGTTTTGTTCCTCTGACTGAAAGGAGTACTACCCGAAAAGCAATATTTTCTGGTCTCAGGCTAAGAAAAGGTCTCTTCTAGGAACAAAGAACTATGTCTAACCTACCAATTTCCTCACCCATGTATAATTACATCTCTCTTATGTGGCCTTCCTTATCAGAAATACCTAGCAACATGTCCACTTGAAGGCAAAAGACTTTCCTTCTCCTCTGTCATTCCCTCAAGGTTTACTATAACCCCTTTATTCAAAGCAAACACTCCATTGGACATGCTTTTTCTTTATGGAGACTAGAACTAAAGAAAAGAACTGACAAATGCTAATCACATTACTTAATGTTGCAGTAAGGTTGTTGACATAAACTATGTATGAAGATGTTTTTATGGGGTGCACAGATAATGGCATATATTGCGTTTAACAGCAATAGTTCTTTCTGTAGAACAGAGAAAAATGAGATAGGATGAGGGAGGGACAGAGAGATAGAGAAAGGGACAGGGAAATTTTTTTCTGGATCCAGCCAAGTGACACGGCTTCCAACATGAATGACCTCTCCTGTAAAACACATGATCACTATATTTTTTCGGTAACGTGTCATTTTCACCAGAATCTCCTCAAATTTCCTTCTGCTAGTTCTTGCCTATCGTGCTATTAGTGCTCATCAAAGTCTGCTTTCATCAAGTGCAAGAGCCATCTAGCATGGGCATGTATATTTTTGGGCCATTATTTATCAGCCACTTAAATGACTAATACTTACTATCTTATCCACTAAATCTTGGTTTTATCTAGAATAGTCTATAAAACAAGGATTAGAAAAGAAAAGAAGGGAAACTGATGCGGACATTGGTGGCAATTGTGTCCCATGAGAACTAGCTATAACAACAGCATCAGGTTTTGCAGGTGCAAGAGCACAGAATAACTGCACAGTAACAACAGAATGAGAGGAACAAGAGAGAAATAATGGCACACCACCTTAGATGTGTGGAGGAAGACTGCAGTGTTGCAGGTGAAAGGCAACCTGCCAAATGGCAAATGGCAGGCCCTTAGCAAGACAAAGGTCCAAGAACTTAAAGCATAGTGTAACATTAAAACATTCCTGGACAGCACTGCAGTGTCAACCTAGAACAAGAATTGACAAATGGCTGTACTAACTTCTTAGGCCTCTGAAAGAGTAATCATCCTTTTTGCTATCTAGGGATGAAAAAAAAACACTTTCTCCATCATATTAAAGAATATATAGTTTATCCTTTGGAGCCAGTGCTGGCACTCTGGACTACGAGTCCTTTGTCTTGGCCAATAAGTTGTCTCTTTGGGAAGGAGCATTATGGTTTTTTGAAGACATTTACATTGAAAATACACACCCTTTACCACTCTCACACAGTCCCTTCCTCAGCCATAGGTATTTCTATACAAAATCAGAGTGTTGTCACATCATAGGCGTTTTTAATGTTATTCATTCTGGGATCTGTTTACCTATTTATCTCCATTCAAATTCTGTTTGGTTAAAGTTTTGATCCTCTGACTTAATTTGAGAGAGCAAACCAGGGTTTCATTTGCACTCAGGTTCTGTTCAGAAGTTATTTATAATAGAGTAATATATTACTGATATATATCAACAGTATTTTACAAGTGAGCAACATTTGCCAAACTTTAGTGTGTTTTAAGAACTTCAAAAGAAAACATCGAAAAGAACGTTTCTTGACATTTATTCCCAATAAAAGTTTATTGACCTATGGCATAGCCTGACTGCTTAGCATTTATCAAACACCTTTTGACTCTGTGTTAGGTTTCTATTAACACATAAACAGAACCTTAATATAAAGCCTAAATAAAGCTTATTAGGCATTTGTGTCAGGTTTTGAGATCACTATGGAACAGTGAATACAAATTATCAGCAGATTCAATGTTTATAACTCCCCCTCAGAGAATTTATCAAAACTAACACCTTTAGAAGTAAGTAATAATACAAAGTGACAGTTTCTGAAATTAGATATGCCAAATCATTCATCATATTCAATAATTACCATCAACTTCAGTTTCAAAAGATCAAGCTGACATAAAGAAGTGAAATTATTAATAAGCTAACAATTTCATTTTCCCTTAGGACTGTAAATCATGAAATATTTAGGAAACCAATTAGTTTCAACATGATGGGTTTAAGTTAAAGCTGGCAGAAATGAAGGCAGTACATGAGAAATGGAGAAAGATGGAGCATGATCCTCATCCAATAAAGGCCTTTGGGCCAGTAGAGAAATTCTTCGACTATCCAGACTGTTTTACCACAGCAGCACAGCCCCTCATAGAAACAATGTGCTTGGGCTCAAAGGAAATAAATCTTAGTGGAAAGAAATGCCTATAGAATGGAGACTAGAAAAAGATCCTAAGTATTTCAGGCATGGAAATAAATACAGGAAAGACTGCTTTTTTGCATTTTCAGATTATCCAGGTAACAGTAAAACCTATGGGAGAGATCAACACAAAAATTAACTTTTGAGAGATGATTGAGGCAGTGTCTCCTGCATTATTACAGGACTGTCTGAGGAACACTGCTCTACAGAACTTACATATTGAGACTACCTGAGTGGTTTCCACTTACCTGTCTTCCTTCCATAGCTCCTCGCATTTCCTTGAAAGTTGAGCTAAATTCTCCAATGAAGTCATGCTTTCCATTGGAATCCCAGTCCCAAACTATGCACTGGGAAAACAAATAGCAAAAGAACAAAAAAGCATGTTTTTCTTCAGACGGAAAAGAGGTTTTATTGAAAAATACTACAGGAGAAATTACGATATACACTGGGTGAAGTGTTTTATCTATAGGGAAATCACAAGACATATTAAAACCATATTCTTGTCCTGATCAAAATAAAATGTCAAGTGGAATCTCAACACAGATTGCTGTTGACAGTTATGTGTTATGGAGCTGGCCTAATGAAAGCAAGTTCACGTATTTCAGGAAGAAAGGATTTCTTGTCTAGATCTTTTTGCTAGGTGTAAAAATACAGGATTATGTATATTTGCATGTTCATTGTCAAATGGTGTCCTGACTTACCTCATTGATGTACTTTACAAATATAAATTATTATAAAAATCCTACTTGCTTTGGGCAAACAGTACTGTTCTCATTTTTACAGTCAGTGAAGGTGAGACAAGAGTTACAGAGATCATTTTCTGAAATGGCTTTGAAATTATACACGTTAGTGTTTGGTGCCCATATCTTGGCTGTTTTCCAGGGTTGCTCAACAGTGACTATACAAACCAAACATCACTGATACTCTCTCCTAAATTCATGCATAAAGATGAATATCTCAATGAGTTTGAGCTACGAGAATTTTATTTTACAGATTTTGCTAAATACAATTAACCTAGCAAAGACTGAAGCAAATAGCAATAACTACAGGCTTTGTTAAATTATAATTTTAAAACTGGTCCAAAGACAACAAAGGGGCTCAGAACAAAATCCCAAATTCAGCCTCATGTTCTCTCTAGATAAAGGTCACATAAGTTGCCTGAGTCAGGAGGCCTTTACTGAAAACATCCTACTACAAAATCTCTCTCTTTTTTTTTTTTCTTTTTTTTAATAGAAATGCCTCAAAGCCATCTGCACTGTCACATAAGGAGTGCACTGAAATCTAGCTATCAGATAGCTTTGAGGGTAACTTTGACTCCCTTGTGTGGGCCTGAGCCTTACAGATCTATGAGTGGGTGTGGGGTGAGAACTTCACTGATAGGAGTAGTAGAGGAGCTCCCTGCTGAGAAAGGCAGGAAATAAAAATTGGAGGTGGTGGGGCAGCGACGGTGGGATACCAGGCTTAAAACCAGTGGGTTTTACCAGACTGCTTTGTCTCAGTGAGGCTCAGAGCTTTTGACCCAGCACTAGTGGTCAGACAACACAAGAGGAAGAGCAAGATTTGCTCCTCAGACTCCTCAGGCCATTTGAAGTTTGCTTGGTCCAAAGGGGCCAAGGAAGGAAACTGAAATCATCAGATCTCAACTGGATTTTGAGTTTTAAATATTTCAAAAAAAGGAATTTATTGAAACAGACTTACTGTCCACCACCTGTGCTTTCTAACTAGCCCAAATAATCCTGTCAAAGCTGGTATGTGAGCACTATGGCCAATCCCTTTTGAGTGTAGGGGGAAAGACTCTGTAGAAAGCTTGAGACAGACAAAATGACTGAATTCTTTCAGTGAGAACAAATGGACAAAAAGTGTTTCAAGAGAAAGACCATCTAAAACAACCTAACATCCTCCCACCACAGCCATAAGTTAATAAATAGCCTCTTCCACATAAATGTTTGTCCATGTGAAGCCATTGACTTGAAGTATAGGTTGGAAGGTATTTGATCTCCACATCTAAGGCGATTACCTGAACTTATTACTCTGTTATGTGCCCAGACACCTTACTTGTCTTCGTAGAAGTAAATAAGGTGGTGATTTCACTAAATTCACACCCACCATCCACGTTATTATTTAGGTTCCTTCTGTTTTGTAATGACTCTAGCTTTCCTTTGAACTTTCAACACTGTTCCGTTTAGCCCCAGGAAGAGATTTCATTCCACACAAAGGGAAATTTTCTGATCCATACAGAAAGTGTGTAGTAGAGGTACAAAGGACTCTCTTAAGGAAAGAGTACCAGTATAACTCTTATTTCTGCAGACATTAATCAGTTGAAACAATTCATGGGTCAGGCAAAGACCTGGCTCTTGAGCCCTCTGTTACTTTTCCATCCTGCCACCTGCAATTTTACTTGCTTTTTTCTTTATGGAGGGATCCCACACTAAAGAAAGTCTCCGGATTGAAACGTGAAAATATTTTGCTCTAAGACTTGGAGGTACTTTTCAGCAGCTTTGACACTGAAGGGGTGGGTGGAGGGTAGAGGGAAAACAGGGGCAGTTCTCATGCATGTTTACTTATAGGCTAAATTTTACAGAAGAGTAATAAAATAAGAGTAGGTTTCTGGTTCTGATAGTGGTAATCCTTACTGGAAAAAAACTAGACAGTAGTTTCAATGCTAACAGCCCTGGAGTATTCTTTATGATGAAATCTTCACTAATAATCACTCTATGCTTATTATCAACTGCAATTTTTAGATGAGCTGGTAACAACAAAAAAAAAATCCAAGAAAAAGTTATTTGATTTATGAAAAAATCCCCAAAACTGTTTTTGTTTCACAGAGGTTGAAGCAGCTGCATTTTATTTTTCCGTGAAATTTCTTGCTAATATAAATTGGTCATCTTTTATTGAAATTACTTATAAATATTTCATGGAAAAATGGATTTCACAGATGAAGCATGACTTAAAATGACTTTTTTTTCTGTAACGGTTGCAAAAATTATTTAAGACCTGAAAGTAATACTACGTAAAAAGATTTGTCAAAATGTCATAGTAAAATTGTTATAAATTTGCAAAAATTGTAGTTTTAGTAATGCTTGCAACTTTTGAAAAAATGTTTTTGAAAAAATGACTATTTCACAAACAAAAAAAAAGAAATTTTCCAACCAGATTTACTTTTCAGGTTTGGTCTTTAAACTCAACTGGAGCATAAATACAAGAGCAGACCCAAAGTTATCAGAGACCTCCAGGAAAAGGTACTTTGAAAAATTTCTATTAGAGACCCAACTCTTACCAAGAGGGAAAAGCTCTGAGTGCTCATTTGTGGTTAGAATTTTAAGTGGAGATGAGCAAAGTTAAATTACATACAAAATGTCCACTCAACAGGGATCCAACTGCTTTCTCTTTCAAGCTAGGTTTTCTAACTTTAGTTTTCAGAAAGCCAGATGGTACTCTAATCTTCATATTGGCTTCATGGAAAAGGCTAACAATTACAGTATTATCTTAGTGCCATTTGCTCAATTACAGCTAAGGGAGAAAAGGGATTTCTGCAAGTACATCCATTATGACTTCTTTTTTTTCCCCAGAGTTTCACATCTGGCCGTAGAAATTAATTATTACTGTCTGAAAAACATTATGTACACAGTAATGATTCTGCTTTTCAAAGGTATATGAAAAGTATTTCTAAAACATAAATACTGGTGTCCAGACATTTTTATAAAACCACACTCAGACAGACAAAATAAGCAGGGAAGGATATTTGCAAATAATCCAGAACCAGATAAAGACCAGAGGTGATAACCAAAGTATTATTTCCCTATGAAATACTTTAAAGTGGTTTTGTTTGGTTGGTTGGTTTTGTCTTTTTTTTTTTTTTGGAAGGCTCCATTTACTCTTTAAATAAAATCCTCCATAATGTAAACCATCCTTTATCTTTAAGGAAACCTTAATGTGTTCTTTAGGTCTGTACTCTTAGAGGTTGCTTAAGCAGATGATTAACAGTATACCTACACTCTATTAAAAGTCTCATTAATTTAAGGAGGCTTTCCATACATTTAATTTTAAATACTGGTAAATCAGTGTTTAGATAACTGGTGAAAGAATTCAGACTCCTACTTATTGGTTACGAGCTCAAATACAGGCAATAAAAACTGCTACTAATGCTGCATGGTGATGGAATAGCACTGACTGGAACGATGAAGAACATCTTTCACCCCTGCATGATTCTACCTTCCTCCCCAAAATTCCTGCTGACTGCAGGGAGAGGGAGCACTCCTTCAGGCCCTCTCAAGGAAAGCGCTATGCCTGACAGAGCTAACTAGCAGATCCAGTTAAGATGTCATCAGAGGATCACTTCTGAGTATCCACATCATCATTCCTTCAGCTTTTCTTTTAAATACCACAAAATGAAAGATTTCCTTCCTGGCTGAAAGCAAACCTTTCACGGGAAAAAGGAGGGAGAAAGGTCCAGTTTAAAAACAAAAAGATATTTCAGGTGGATGCAGGTGGAAATTTTCCCTGATTTTATTTCAATTTTTTCACCAAGATTAGATTTTGCCAGTACTCTCACTACAAAGGGCATCCAAGAAAAATTGCACAGGCACTAGAGCTATAACAGCACAGGCTTCTCTGGCTGATTTTCGTAATGCTTCCCAGAAGATGACAGATAGATTAATCTTGCTACCTATGAGTGAGCAAAAAACTCACTTGCGCAATTTCTGATTTTAGTTATATTTCACAAAAATATAACCTGAACCACACTCCAGTTCCAGCCAATCCTGATTGATCATCTGTTCAGTGATGTGATGATGCCTAGATAAGAAATAAACCAATTTCTCTATCCAGTATCTCTCATGGACTGAGGCAGTTTTCCTGTTTGATAATTCAACAGCAAAAAAAGTATTGCTACCTATCATATGATCCAAACTCAACTATAATTTTTTCAAATTTTTATTTCTGTGAGAAATTAAAAGATGTGGAGACTAGAAATTGGTGTGCCAAGTCTCAATATAAGAGCCAGCAAAATTCTAGCACAATTGTCATAAAATAATTTTTCCCGTAGTCACCATCCTGTCTAGCTTTAACCACCAAGAGAACTAAGTAATATAAAAGACTGGCTACTTTAAGTATGCATTTTTGTGTGAGTGTCTGCAGGTTATTTTCCCTATATACCTCCAGAGAAATACTTGAAGTGATTTGTCCCCATTAGGTTTTCATGATGAGAGAACTATTCTGTGCAGCACCTTTGGGCATAGGTAATAGCAAAATTTGGAACTTAACCTTGCAATTTATAAGCCGGCCCAAAACATGCTCTGAAGGTTAGTTTTTAAAAGACAGTCTTTGACTAAATTGTGTCAGGAGGCAG